CCTCCGCCGTGGCCCTCGGGGCTCCGGCTCCTGGGCGCGGCGAGGTGGCGGCGCGGGACTCCCCGCGGGCGCGCCCCCACCTCCAGGCCGCCCGGGGCGCCGTCCGCTGCAACGAGCGAGCGAGCCTCTGCAAACTTTATCTTCCAAGCTCTGTGCCCTCGGGGAAGGCGCTGTGTCCCCGGAGAGGGACTGCGCTTGGATCTTAGTAAAACTCACAAGCTAGTAGAAGACGCGGGTGGGTGGAGGGTGAGGGGTGCACAGAGCAAGTTTCTCCGAAACCCCACCTTGAGCGCCCTTGTTTCTCTCGAACGCCTTGTCCACCCCCACCCCACCTCTGGCGCCCTGCACCTCCATCTGAGGTTTTAAGGGACTTTGTTTGACGCAGACCCTGGGCCCCCCATTTTCTCTCTTCCCAGAAGCAGGAAGAGATAACACGTGAAAGTTGTCCCTGAACCCCGAGTGATGTGCTTCCCCTTTCTGTGTCTTTTCCCCCCCTTCAGGCAGTTTAGTCTTCATCATCCTGACCCAGGGAGGGAGCCGTGTCAGGAGGGAAACTCCACACCCTAATCTGCCTCGCCGCACACCCGCTGGCTCACCTCATGCCTGAGCCCCGGGTGGCTGAGGGTGAAGAAGCCTCCCAGCCAAGATGAAACTCTCCCTGGGGGCAGCTGCTGCTACTGTCTTGCCCCGGATCCTGGGGCGCTGCAGCTGGGAGACTGATTCTGGAAGGAGCCCTGTGAGCCGGCTGCAGAGGAGGTGAAGAGGGTTTGAGAAGAGGCACCCATCCCAGAGGCGGAAGCTCCTTGCCTTCACCCCTGTAGACTGGTTTAGGAGAGAAGGACCTGTTGGCATTGGCAGGCAGCAGGAGACTGGACAGTAGTTTAACCGGGCACCTATGCCCCTCTCCCTGGCAACGGCAGCGTCATGAGCCAGTTTCAGGTGCCCTTGGCGGTCCAGCCGGACCTGCCAGGCCTTTACGATTTCCCCCAGGGCCAGGTGATGGTAGGGGGCTTCCAGGGGCCTGGACTTCCAATATCTGGGAGTGAGACCCAACCGCGAGGGGGTGGAGATGGGCGAAAGAAAAGAAAGCGATGTGGGGCCTGTGAGCCCTGCCGGCGGCTGGAAAACTGTGGGTCATGCACCAGCTGCACCAACCGCCGCACACACCAGATCTGCAAGCTCCGCAAGTGTGAGGCGCTGAAGAAAAAAGTGGGGCTCCCTAAGGAGGTAAGTGGGCCTCTGCCGGCTCCCAATCCCTTGCCTCAGGGTGCCTCATCAGGAGGGTCCGGTTGAAAAGACTCATCCAGTTAAGCCTGTCCTCCCATCCCTGGGCCCTTGGTCTCCGCTGGAGCACCGCCTGCTGTTGGAAGCCCGTGGGTTTCCTTTCCATGCCGATGGTTTGTACGGGAGTGATTGGGTTCCGTGCAGAGCCAGCGTCCTCGTCGTGGGTGTTTTACAGTTGATGCGGGACGGAGTCGTCTAGCTTGAGCTTTAAAAGTTTCTCCGCCTGCCTGAAGCCTCAGGTGGATTTTCAGGTGCTGACGTGTGGGTGACGTGGTAGCAGTGAGGCACTGGAGGTGGGGGTGGGTGTGTATAGAAAGCTCTGGAGTAACAGCTTGGCTTTTGGGCGGTCCTGACTGGGAGGGCGGTTATTCCTCCCCTAAACCCTTCCTTGGGGTCCTGTTTTTCTCAAACAAGGAAATTAATGAGGGATACATGATTGGGGCTCCCAATGGTATGGGATACTTGCCGAGGCCACAGAGTTTCTGGCATGGTAGTATTTTGAGGGGCAGTAGACACTAGATACCAATTTATAAATGATGATGTGCTGTTGAGGTTTGTCATGCCAGGGTGGACTCCCCACATTCAGGGTTAAAGAGGAAGACTGGGGATGAGAGCAATGAGTGGGGGTGGGAGGAGAAGTGGGCGGGGCAGTGACCCTGTCTTGGGGTGTTTCCCTTCCGCTTGGTGAGCAGTCCACGCAAAGCTGGTAGCCGTGACAGCAGAGTTGGCGAAAGTAGGGACCAGCCAATCGAGCGGATTTTAGGCGGAGCGTGTAGCAGCTGAAGTTGTTCCAGGCAGCGGAACTGGCGCTGGACAGAGACAGAGAGGCCTGCGCTGCCTGCAGGGCTCCCAGCCCTGCCACTAATTTGTCCAAGAGCCTAGACTTTTCCGCTCCTCTCGGACTGTCTTCTCTTGGGGGAAATGGAGTTGGCTTTGATGTCCTTCAAAGCCCCCTCAGCTGGGCCAGGAGCTGCTGAGCTCTGAGCATGAGGTCACCTGTGGCCAGGCTGGGTGTGCCAAATGCACTTGGGATTTCCTTGACTGCTGAATGTAGACCTGAGCCTCAAGGTGGTAGGGCTTTGGGTGGGAAGAAAGATCCAAGTTTGAGGGGCAGGGAAGTGTATTCTTCCCAGGGTGTTTCTGTCCCTTCTTAACTTCCTTTGTCCATTTGCTACATACTATAAGTTTCCTATTTACCTTGAGCAGCTAAAGCAGGCATCTGGATGCATCTGGAGCCCCACTCTAGCCCTGGCCTCATATCCAGCCCAACTATGCTGCTGGTGTTGGGCACCCTTAACCTGCCCTCCTTGTGCCTTGGGGGTCATTTCTTAGAGGGTGAGCTTAGCCATAAGAGCTGGTGTTTGGCTCTAAGAACTGCCTAGTATATACTGCATGGCTGGATCCCTTCACTTCCTTCTTCCTAATGTGCACTTCCTCCTTCCATCCCACTCCTCTGATAGACGCAGGGGTGAAAGATGTGCTTGGTGGCACTTGTGGATGGCATTATGAGCCAGTTTTGGCAACAGTGGGACATCCCTGAACGAAAGGAGCTGGGAATGAGGCCAGAGCCTCTCATTCTCTTGTGAAAGCTGCTGGCCAGGTTGCCGAGGGGTCATGGTAAAGACACTGTGGACCCGGGTTGGCTGAGGCTTAGCGATAGCCTTGAGAAGTCTGTGCAGACCTGGCCAAGGCCGGCGGTTACCCTAGACCCTAAGGTCAGTTGAAATGTAGCTGGACAGCCTGGGATGCCGAGCTCAGAGCGTCTACGTGGAGGCCTGTGGACCAGGCCGCCTCCCCGTGTCTGAGAAATAGTGGAGTGGGGACAGTGGAATGAGTTTTTCTTATTTTGTTAGGTTTCTTTGTGTGTCTTTCTCCACCGTGGTGCACATGTGGAGGTCAGAGGACAACTTGAGAGTCAGTCCTCTTCCTTGTACCGTGTGAGTTCTGAGGTTCACACTCCAGTCCTCTGCTTTGCAGGTAGCACCTTTACTCAGTATCTCGGTGACCCTAACTTTTTTAAAGAAAGTGGTGCTCTAAGGGTGGGTACTTTCTCATTGATACTTAAACTTTAAAAAAGTTTATTTCCGCTTTCTTTCTTTTCCTTTTTTCTTTGTCTTCACTTGGTTAAAAAGAAAAAAGAAACTGAAATAGTAACTAGTGGCTCTCCATTGCAAAAACAAACAAACAAAACATGCTCATAATGGCTTGCAAGCTTCTGAATGGCTATCGAGAAGGCCCCGGTTAACAGGCTTGTCTCTGGCAGACCCTGCCTGGGCAGGGAACCACGGTGACTTGGTGACTTAACCATTAGATCTTCGCAGTGCTCAGCAGACTGCGTCCACAACGGACCAGGGAGGTCTTTTTTTTTTTTTTTTTGGCCTGAGTCTTCATGTGTTGTGGGACACTCCATCCCCAGAGCCTCGGAGGTTGTACCATCAGCTTTTATCTGTGCTCCTTGAGTGTCTAGTCCTTAACTCCATCCTGACTCCACTGTCCCAGCTGCCTCTGGCGTTTCTTTTGCACTTGTCTGCCGACAGCTGCTTGGTACCGTGCTGTAAGGGCCATGGACATGGTGGGGGAGAGGGAGGGGAAGCTTACCCTGTGTTTTTCCTCTTGTTTCTCTACTTGACATTCTTTTTCCTGGTGGACTTTGGAAAGGGTGTGCCAAATCCATAGACTTGGTAGTTCAGAATTTGAAGATTAAAGATGGTTTCCCAGGGGCAGGTGGTTGCTCTTGGGTTGGCAGTAGGC